GATTAAGTCAGCACATTTTATCACCCCTCATTTCTCCTCCCGCAATCACTGACAGCTAATGTTGCTTCATCCCCATAGAAGTGCAGTTTGTCTAAGTGTGAGGACATGGTTATTTTCAATAAGCTATAGATCATTCTGATGACCGGCAAAATTCCAGGGCCTATTGCTCTCATCAATACCCAGACAACTTTTTAAGTATGACTTTATAGTGATATAGGCTAAATACTAGTATAAATCAGTTTTTTCCCTACCACATTATTGATAGACATCACAGTTACCCTGTAAAGGGAAATCCTAACAGACGGTCATTAGTGATAAAAAAGAACATTACTTTTTTTCTTCCACAGACTGTTTTTAGTTGAAACAATTCTGTTTATAGATAGTTTATAGATAATGCCCAAGTGTAGGTTTTGCGACAGAGAAAATGGTTTGCCTGCTGTTATTTTTATTTTCATATGTAAGAGCCTAAGAGTGATTTCCAACGCCAACTGGCTCTCCGTTGCAAAGCAACCTCAAGAAGTCAGTTAAGCCCATCTCAATCTCCTGATAATAAAAGTAAATGCACTATAGCCTCACCTTCTCCATTCACCCACAGTCATCATTACTTTCTCCCATTACTACAATGAGGAGTATATCATTGGGCTAATAGTGGGTCATAGCATCTTGCTTATATGAAAAATATCAGCTCTGCTGGAAGAAAGTGTCATAGTGATGACCTGGTGGCTTTAAAAATTATTATTTTGGGGAGCGCCTCTGTGGCTCAGTCAGTTAAGCATCCAACTCTTGATTTCAGCTCAGGTCATGATCAGGGTTATGAGATCAAGCTCAGAGTCCAGCTCCCCCCTGGGTGTGGAGCCTGTTTGAGATTCTCTCCCTCTCCCTCTGCCCCCCCCCAACTCGCTCACGCATTCTCTCAAATAAATAAATGAATCTTTTTTAAAAAAAGAAAAAATATATTACTTTTTATTGAAGGTGAGGTAATAAATGTTTTCTACAAATATTTATTAAGCACCTACTGCATGCTGGTCCATACGCTAGGCAATGCATTTACAATCAGGAACCAGAAGTGGTTCCTGATCTAGAGAGGCTAATGGAGGAAAACAATGGAGAAAATATGGAAGTAAAAGGAAAACAGGAAGGAAGGAAGAAAGGAGGGAAGTAGGGAGGGAGTAGAGAAAGAAAGAAAGAAAAAGAAAGAAAAGAAGGAAGGAAGGAAGGAAGGAAGGAAGGAAGGAACCAAAGTTCTATTTTTGGCTTTTCTGCCACTGACTCATAGTATTAACTTGAACCAGTGACCAACTTTCCTCTGCTAACTAAGCCTATCCACACAACAGTGAGAAAACGCTTCAGCTTCCCTATTTGAATGTTGGACAACTGCTGAGATCACTTACATAAATATTTTTCTTTGAGCTCCCTAGAAGACAGGAACTTTATAAATATTTAGTATTATTGTTGTACCTTAGGTACAAGCAGACAGGAAAATTACGATACTCCTCTATTTACGTAAGAAATAACCTATTTCAGACAATTCCAATTCATGCCAAGCAACTTTACGTTGGTTTGTTAGTGACCCTTGGGCTTTCCTTTTTCCTTTCTCCTCCCCACCCTTGCAGCTGATGAATGTGGAAATATAAATAAACCTTCACAGCAGATGGTAGGAAGGTGAGGAAGCTCAGCGTGAGGGTAGTCACACTGGCTGAGCTCAAGCTGTGTATCAGAACGGGTGAGGATTCAAAATAAACATTACATTTAAAATTCTTGATTGAAAAGTGTGAGAAAATGATTCATTTTAAGAATGAGTAATTTGCTTGCATGTTCTGTACTTGAGTAAGACCTTGCGACCTTGCTGAATCTTTAGTTTTGTCTGTTCTGTTTCTTTTTTGGATACATGTGGTGAGAAGAAACCTAAAAAATGGGATTGTAACTGGCATGTTTAGAGTCTGTTTGTTTCAAGTGGAGTCTTCCAAAATTAATTCACCTGTTTCTTTGCAAATTCTTGTCCCACAGGCTGTTCCTCCAAGATTTTAATGGGACTAAGTTCCGGAATGATGTTCTCAGAATGCATACAAGCATTATTTTTGGATGGTAGAATTTCAGGTGATCTTTTTAGTTTACTTTCTTAGTCACACTTCCCTGCAGTTCCTGACTTTTCTTCTTTATCTAAGGAGCAAGTATCATTTTTTACAAAAACAATAGTTTGAAAAATAATAAAATTGAAACCCCTTACCACTGATTTCATTCTCCTCTCTGCCATATAGCCCAAGTTTTTAATGGACCTATGCTTTCTTCTTGTTTTCCTTACAAATTTAAGACAAGCCACCATACAGTAATTAATTTCCAAATTGGGAAAGTGAGTCCTCTGTGCAATTGAGTAGGCAGTTGGTGTTGATCTGGGGAACTCAGGCAGCTTATGAACCACACTTACATAAAATTTTCTCTTTTGTCTTCATTTACGGGGATAATTCAAACCAAAGCAGAGTGGGTCTCTTGCATATGAATTATGCTGATAATGTTCTGTTTATTGACCTAATGTCAAGATGATTTTATTAGTTTTAATATTTCTTGAGCACTCAGGGTGTTTTAGATACAATGTCAGTTACAGACAAACAAAAGACAATAACTTCACATTCAATGATTTTACTTAATGAAATAATAAAAACCATTTAAGACTTTCTCTTTTGTGTATCCATGTGTGGTCTTCTTTTCTATTTTTGCTTTAATACTAATGCAGAGCAGAACCTTCAACATATCTGGGGGCCAAGCTTTCTCCCCACTGTCCAACCTCGTAAAGAGGATGCTTCCAGGAGGATCTGTAAATGCATCTATTCACTTTTTCTATGAATATTTATTAAACACCTACTGCATGCTGGTCCATACTCTAGGCAATGCATTTACAACCAGGAACCAGAAGCAGTTCCTAATCTAGAGAGGCTAATGGAGGAAAACAAGCATATCAACAGACACTGAAGTGTTAGCGCTGCAATCATGAGGTCTGGATGGAACATTTCATGAACACCACAATGGAGGAGCCAATGTCATCTTGGCAGAAGTACAGGAGGAAGGATCAGAAAATACTTCAGAGGGGAGAAAAGGCAAATGTGGCAAAGTGAGCAATCTGAAAAGGCACAGTGATGTGAAACAGCAGGGCTCTCTTTTGAAAATTCTAGAGGCAGTTTTCATGTGTCTAGACGGAGGGGTGAGTGAGGTGAGAGTGATGGAAGGTGGAGCTAGCACATTAAATGGGGGGCAGGTTCTAGATGTGAATTTAGGGCTATTAGAACCAACCTCAGGAAGCAGATAGAGCTATGTGTTCCAGGCTCTTCCATGCTAGGAATAAAAGTAGGGTCACAAAGCAGGAAGTTTGCTTTTGATTGCTCTGGAATAATTGGGCTCCCCTAAAATCCTGCCTAGTGTGGTGAGTGTGCCTCACATGGTGCCAAGACCCATTCCTCTTGGCCTCCATTGTCCACCATTTTGTTCCTCTCTCTCCACATTCCTCTCCTCTTTATGGCTGGAGCCAGCAGCAGTAGCCATGGCCCTGGTGCTTGTAGAAACAGCTCTTTCTTGCCTTGTCCCACAGTTTCAACAGCCCTCTTCTCTGATGCTGACCTCTTGTCATTGGCTAAACCTGTAGACCTCCATAGCCTCTCTCCTTGGGATGGGTCCCTTCTCAGGCCACCCTGGAACTCCCTGGTCAGCAGATCCACTTGAAGCTTGCCTTCCAGACATGGTGACATGTGCCTGAATCTTTGGGAGAACAAAGTTTTGATGCAGGCTGGTGACTTTGGAAAAGTTCTGGGAAAAGAAATGGAAAGAGAAAATAGGAGGAAGAAAAAGGAGGCTGAACTATGACTTGAAGAGAGAGAACAGGATGTATAGGTGGCTTGTATGGAGCTTCCAAACCCAGAGTATTAGTACATATTTGTAGTATTCTTCGTACCTCTATCTTTTCAGTTGATATCTTCTATTATTTTTCTATTTTGTATTGTTTGTATGTTTGTAAACCACCTTAGACGTTTTTGTTTGTTTGTTTTTAACATGGCAGAATATAAAAATACATGAGTAAATAAATAAAGAAGGTAATTTGCCACATTGAGTAGTGTTCTGAAGACAGATGTGGTCAAAAACACTTTTTGCTAAAACACTTTTTGCTAAACGTGACTGTGGTCAGAACTTGACATAGCAGGAAAAGAGGATTTCAGATTATAATCTAACTTCCAAATGACGCTTTAACCCTGACCTACGATGGCAAAGTAGTTTGGCAGTACTTGTCCCCTCAAAACCAAACCAAACCCAACCCAGGAGGAAGGCAGGCACCAGGGCGCTGACTCCTGCCATCAGGAGCGAGCCCTTCCCAGCCCTGGGACTCCCACAGGGTGAAAGGGTGGGAGAAATGTCCCGGAGGAGATGAATGGTGTCCCTCCGTGGGCTAGGGGGATCGCTGGGACATTGGCTTCAGAAAGTCAACTGCAATGGAGAGGGAGGTGTTAAACAGTTGCCCTGACTGGGACTTCCTCTCACTGTCCCTCCACCAAAACCCAGAATTATCCCTTTTTGATCACTCCACTCCTCCCCTTCTCGGCTAGGCTAAACTTGCCCTCTGTCATCAGTTTCTCCTTTCCCCGGGGACTCACTCCCGCGCCGCCCCCCGCCCCGCCCCAACAAGCGCCCACGTTCTCCCAGAACTAGAGGGCTCACTCCTTTCCCCTCGGCCCCAGCCCCCTTTTCTCGTCTTCTGCCTCCTGCACCCAGGACGCCCCTTTCTTGCCTCCCCACCGAGCCCAGACCTCGGGGACCGAGACCAGGGTGCGGGGCCACAGGTGGATGGGCGGGAAGACCGACGCGCCGAGGGTCGCCGGCGGCGGGGAGGGAAGCGGGAGCGGGAGCGGGAGCGGGAGGGGCCCCTCCCCGCGGGCGGGCGCGCGGCGGGCCGAGGGGGCGGGCCCAGGCCTCCCGCGCGCCGCCACCGCCCCTCGAGCCGTCTGCTTGCTCCGCCAGTCGGCGCGACCCAGGTGCCGGCGGGCAGGAGGCGCCCGAGGATGTGCGGCTGGCCGCTGCTCCTGCTTTGGGGGCTGCTCCCCGGCGCGGCGGCGGGGGGCTTGGGCCGGGCCCTCCCGCACCGCACCCTCCTCGACTCCGAGGGCAAGTACTGGCTGAGCTGGGGCCCCCGGGGCGGCCGGCTCGCCTTTCGCCTCGAGGTGCGCACTGCCGGCTACGTGGGCTTCGGCTTCTCGCCCACCGGGGCCATGGCCGCGGCGGACATCGTCGTGGGCGGGGTGGCCCACGGGCGGCCCTATCTGCAGGTAAGCGAGTTCCCCTTCTGGAGCCCGCCGCGCCGAGCCCCGTCCCGTCTCCCGCCCTCGGGGCAGGCGCGAGTGCAGGCGCCCCTAGGGCCGGCGGCTGTCCTCCGCGGCCGAGGCTGGAAGCCGTCGCTCCCACCCCCCCACCCCCACGGCAGCCCTGCAGCCCTGCAGCCCTGCAGCCCGAACACCGCACGCGCTCCCCTTGGTGGTTGGCTCGCGCACCCCCGGAGCCAAAGGCGCCAGCGGCTGGGCTCTCCGCCTCCGCCGCCCGGCCCCGACTTTTCGCCCGGGGAAGCTGAGCACGGGTGACCTCGGGCAGCTTTCCGTCTCTGAACACTTTCTTGTCCCCAGAGTCCCACTTCTCGTCTTCTGCCTCCTGCCCCCAGGACGCCCCTTTCTTGCCTCCCCACCGAGCCCAGACCATTACTAGATTCCCCCACATACACACCTGCCACGCATCCCCATTCATCCCTCCTGGGAAAGGAGAACGACCCTTCGGGGACCTAACGGGACTGCTGTCGGGGTTGAAGGGACCTGTGAGCTTTAAGCACTCTGCTGTCTTGCTGTCTAGGACTAGGATCCCAGAACTTACAAATCGTAGCTATTCTGGAGTCCCCACGCACGGAGCTGAGCTGAGCTGCCTCACCTGAGAGATGAATGAAAGGTCCCCAAGTATCGTTTAGGAACTTTGCTATTCTGGGAGCCCGTTAGGATGCCCATTCAGAGACCTGCACAACTTACAGTTCCCCAGGCAAAATCCTCTATGAAGTGGAGAAACTTTTCACTTATTTTAATAGCTAACAAAGTTAATTTGACAGCTGCCGTTTTGCTTTGAAAGAGTAGTAGATACATTGCCTGTTCATAGATATCTTGATGAATAGGAGGGGAGAAAAAAGAATTGTGAGAAAACCAGAATGATTAGGTGGTTAAGTTTTCTGGACATCTTTCTTTATTTGATCTTGACAACATCTTGATACTTTTCCACAGTTACATAACATCGTGGTGAATATATTCTGTTACTTATAAAAAGTTCATCCCGGAATACTGCTCTTTGCTCAAAGCCTCTGCTTCCAAATGAAAACTCCTTGCTGTTCTGGCATTGGGTTAAGGTTTTGATGATATTAAAATCAATGCACCGATGGATACCAAAGTGCCTTTGTCAGTAATTTTATTCCTGACTTCTAAGTTTGATTTCCACAACTTTCTGGCTGAGATGCCATCAAATTTTAACCCTAATTCTGGCACGGAGCTATTAACTCTGGCTAGAAATAACGAAAATGACAGTAATAAAAACTTCAAAACCATCCTGTTGTCTGTTTTTTTCATAAATTAATCTTTTTCTCCCAAAATAAGTATTCTACAACTCCAATAAAATTAAGTTTTATGAGGATTGTGCTTTGTTGAAGTCATTGATGTATAAATTTCCTCCTGCGGCAGCATTTCAAACATTAAATTTGTAAACCAAGAATTTGATCCCAGACACAGGCCTCACTAGCTGAATAACTTAACTCTCTTCTGATAATGAAGAGGAAAATACCTTATTTAAATACCTAGTTGAGCCCAGTCTTTTTGTTTGTTTGTTTGTTCAAGGTGGGAAAGGTAATATGCCCCTTAACTATCCTTGCATGTTTTGTTGAAAGGGACATGGAAAATCTTTCTATGGTAATATCATAAAATAGGATATACTTTAAAAGATAACTTGATATTGTTTCCCCCCAAAGAGTAACATTTCTAGAAAGCCCATCCAATTTGATTATCAAATGAAAAAGGAAGAGTAGAGTCCTGTTTCAACATGGACAACAAAGTCTTTGTTAAACTTTGTTAAACTACAGTGTTTTCACACTGCTGGTGGTTCTTCATAAAGACTGCGTAAAAATTAACTAAGTGCTCTCTGGATTGACTTTGAGCCATAGAAATTTTCTCAGAGTAATCAGTGAATACCTATCACTATGAGATAAACCTCAGAAATGGTCACTTTCCCAATATATTTAATGAGCAAGAAATAGGATTTTCCCCTCCATTTTTATTTCTAAGGAAATAAAATCCTTATTTTCATCTATAAATGATAATTATTTTCTTAGTGGACTGACATCCTTTACTGTTCCCTTTCCTTAATCCTACTCATTCTAGGACATATAAAATACACTAAAAATTATGCTAATCAGTAATATGGAAAGAAAATTGACTAAAAACCTCTTTAATAAAATGAAAGACACCGAACACTAAAAAGAAATGTATCAGCTCCATCTGGGTCATCCAGCCGAGGTGACTTTCCAAAACTTGAATCTTCTCTCTAGAAACTATTAATTTGAGAGTCTTCACACAGTGGTGTGATAAGGATATCCTGAGCAACTATACCAAAAGGTGAATAGGGTTCTTAAACAGTGTATGTGATTCAATTAGTAGACTTTGGATTTGATGTAATTTTACTCCCAGTGACAATGAACTTTGCAAGACAAAGCATTGGCTTATGTGCAGCTGCTAATGGTTGGAGATGGCATCAGGCTGACTGATAATACCCTACACTGACATACAGGTCACCTCCCCTTGTGGCTTTTTCTTTTTCATATATGTTATGTCCTCCTTATTTAATTTTTAAAAACTTGACCTTCAGATATTTTTTCTGTCATTCTGACTTCTGTCTTTCTGGCTATCTTAAACTTTTTGTTTCAATAGGATATTAACACCTGGATAACTGTGTGAGAATAAATTCCAGCCAACCAGTAGAGAATTGTTGGTTAAAATAGATGCCACAAACCCAAATGCCCATAGAGGTCAGACCGCAAGGATAAAAGAATGATGGGCTTGATGCAATGAAACAGACGGTAGAGAGGATCGAGGAAAAAAGAGTTCTTGTGACTGAGTTACTGTTGTGTGGGAATGCAAATCAGATATGGGCAGATCTTTGGTTTTTGTTTTTGCTTTTTTTGAGAGAAGATGGAAATTTAGATATGTGTAAATAAAATCTGATTACAAAATACTGGCCACAATTCAAGTTTGTACAAAGCACCACGTAGAGCACATATATACACAAAATTTTAGTGGAAATAAGAGCCCATGGACAAATTAATCTGGGGCCAAGAGGGAAAAAGCTAAGGTTAGTGAAGAATCAACCCAGATTATGAAAGGCAGAGAGGCAGGTTCCATTTCTCTTCAGGCCTGGCTTGTTCTGTGCAAAGAAATGCCCAGTGTCAGAGGGGACCTTGCCCAATTTTTTTAATCTATTGTATAACACAACACCCCAAAACATAGTCACTTGCTACAGTGACAGTTTGCTCACAAATCTGCAATCTGAGGAGGGGCTAAGTGGGGACAGATGTCTGCTTCACTTGATGTCAACTCCAAGGTGAGTGGTTGGAATCATCGGAAGGCTCCCTCGATCACTTGCCTGACTGGCATCTGCTGTTGGCTCTTGGCTGGGGACCTCAGCTGATCCTGTGGTGGCAGTGTGGCCACTCCATGTTGCCACTCAGCTTCCCCACAGCTGAGTGGCCGGGTCCCCGTGGTCAACATCCCAAGAGGCCCAGGTAGAAACTGGATAGCAGCCATTTATAACTTAGCCTTTGAGCCATCTTCATTGTAGTCACATCTCACTGGATTCAAGAGGGAACATAGACTGCACCTCAGGATCACATCATAAGGAGGTCACAGGGGAATGGAATATATGAGTGTGGCCATCTTTGCAAAACACTTGCTTTCACACCCATCCCCACTGACATGTCACAGTCTCCTTCCTACCACCGCCTTTGAGTACACGTCCACATGCATACACTCTCTCTTGACACTACTGAGATCGGGAGGCAGTATTTACTTATTCACCTTCTTCCCTTTTACACACACTCTCTGACACCACTCACAAGGAGTTAGTGAACAGTTAGTTCTCCTACTCCACACTCCCTTGCAAGTTAAGACTACCGACGCTCTACAACTCCACATTTTTCAGTGGTTGCCAATCACTAGTTCAGAGTTGGACCCAATGAGAATACCTCCAGAGGGCAGTGTGACATTTGCTTATAGGCTTCTGGAGTGAAAAAAAATCAACTTCTGACTTCCTTGCCTCAAGGCAATAGGTTCGGCCACCCTTAAAACTATACCCAGAGATGAGGCTTTATGGAAATTTGCCCTGCCCATTTTCTAACTCTCTGACCCAGTCTGAAGACAGTTCCTCAAATGGTATACAACTAGGTCCGATCAAATGGGAAAGGAAAGAGAAATGTGGTTGCAAAGTGAAGCAGGTCTCAGTATAATCTATCAGATACACTGTCGTGGAGCCGCTCCCCCTTGGGGTAACGACCCCTGGGATGCTGCCGTGGTCATTTCTGCACTGTCTTTCGCAGGATTGCCAGGGGTGGGGGTGGGAAGCAGTCTTTCCTCTTGCATTGGCTTTTGAAAACCTCACTATTTTGTCTCAATGAATTAACTCTCACTTCCCTGATGGATTCATGTCCTTTTCTTGTACTTTGCCCCTTTTTGACACAGTGCAATCCTACCCCCACCCCAGCCACTTAGCAACTGTGAGTCCCCATTTGAGGCAAGTAATCCGGGTTGATGAATGCCTAGTTTGTGTGAGTTAGAGAAGAGGGCAGCATTGTCGGATGTGCCCGTTGAATTTGCACAAAAATGGATTCACTCTTCCTTTGGGGGTAGAAATCGCTAGTGAATGGAGGCTGAAACATATGTCATCATTTGTCACAGCCTTGCTCCTGGGCTGTCTCTAAAACTGAAACATTTCTCTGATGAGAAGTAAGTCTTCAGCAGCAGGGTAATTGCTGCTGGGCTGTTCGCTGAGGAAGTGCTTGGAAATTGTGCTGTGATTTGAAATCACAGAAAACAGTGAGCATTCTTTGTGGTTAACTATGTGCTGCTTTTAAGCGCACCCCAGCCAACGGCTACAAAGAAATGTTTGGAAAGCAAATTGAAAAGCTGTAAGGGAAAGATGAAGAGAGTGTACAACCCTGACACAGCTCAGCTGGGGCTTTGTTAAGAGATATTTATAAGTC